ACCGGCCTGGCCTGGGCCACCGCCCGGCCGGGCGCTGGGACCGCCTCCCCTCTCCTTGCCCGTGGGCAAAGGCACACCTTTCCGGTTCCTTTGTCCCGACGTAAACAGGGCAATTCGCAGAGGCGCCGATTGGCTCAAGCCCCAAGGGGGATGGGAGTCCGGTGTGATGGGCAGCTTCTGCCACTCAGACATCCCCCCCTACATCAAACCATGACAAATTCCTATTTACTTTCTTATTATGGTGGGGTAAGAAATCAAAAGTGTATATATGTTTAGAAATTCTAAAACACACAAAGATTTGGCTGTCCTACTAGTCTGTGGCCAAAGATTATAACACAGCATCTTACTAAAATGAAATAAATAGGGATTCATCTGCTGACAACGTTCTCATCCCCCCCCTACATCAAACCATGACAAATTCCTATTTACTTTCTTATTATGGTGGGGTAAGAAATCAAAAGTGTATATATGTTTAGAAATTCTAAAACACACAAAGATTTGGCTGTCCTACTAGTCTGTGGCCAAAGATTATAACACAGCATCTTACTAAAATGAAATAAATAGGGATTCATCTGCTGACAACGTTCTCATCAACATCTGATGCATGACAATATCGTGTATTATTTGAAACTCTCTGGACTATTACTCCTCTGGAGTAAGGGAATATTACACGTACCTCCAAAATTTGTGAGCTGGCCTTATCTTAATGAGCTGTGTAAGTGCACATAAATGTCAGTAATTGCAGAAAGGAACAAAGCAAACCTACCCTGTAGCCAACATCTTCTGTGATAACTGCTGTGTCAACCATGCAGCCTGCTTGCCACAAGGTCTCCTTGATGCTGCAGCCATAAAGAAACACGTTCTTTTTCTGGGAGTGTCCGTGGTAGTCACAGAATACCTAGGGAGAGAAAGTAAAAAGGCAAAATCCTGAACATTGAAAAAGTTTCTTGGTTCTTCATAATAAGCACTAGAAGACTATGGGGGTATGTTAACGTGTGATTTTTTTCAGGTCTCCTCAGAGTAGTTTAGGCTCTGGGCCATGCCTATAACCCGTGTCAAACTTTGCTAGTCAGTTGAATCTTGCTTTATTTATTCATTCTGACATGATCTCAGCAATCCAGAGTCAAGACTAGTGCATTTCTGTCTGCAGCAGAAATAAACACGACACCTGTGCAAGAATCCGTGGCAACTCAGGAACCTGACGGTTCAGGGTAACTTATGATACAACAGAGCAATTTGTCAGGCTCTTTCTACTTCTAAACTCCCAAACTCCATCTTTATTCTCATGAGATATGAAATCTGTGCTTTCCCAAGCAATTAATCATCACTTTGTTGACTTTAAATTCAAAACCTGTGCTACATAATTTTCAGGTAAATATAATTGTGCAGTTGTATTCCAAAATGCTGTCAGATCTTTTCATGAATTCCTGGAAGCCAAGCACAGAACATGACCTATCTTCATGGCAAATAATCTCATTCCACACTAATCTATCTATCTAATCCATTTCTCTTATGTCAGCTGTCATATAAACTATGTACAAGGCACATTCCCAGTTTTAGCGGAAGTTTTGATTGCATTTTATAGGCAGATATTGACTCCTATAGAAATGAAAATCACGGTTTAATGACCCAAGAGGTAAATATTGACCGAAGTCTTAAAGAATAATCAATCTCGGTGCCCTCTGAGATATGAAGTCAATATACACACTGCTGTTACATACATTCTCCATGTCTTTATCAGGAATATTCAGAAATCTGTCAATGAAAATACAAGAATTTCTAAAGGGAAGGAATTGGTTCATTTTAAATCAGTTTTCACCACTGAATAGAACGGAGCTTCAAGATTTCATTGAAACAGTTTTCCAGGGCTTATATCAGAGTCAAAAAATGGGTAGAGGAAGGTGGGGAAGAATTATAGATCAATATAAAGAGAGATGTGGGAGAAACATGGGCTAAAAAACTCTACCACGTATTCTTACATAAATACATATACAAGAAGGGAGAAACAGATGGAGTAGATGAGCTTCTTCCACCAACTGCTAGGGCAAGATTTACCCTAGTATGTTTATTTACCAGCTACACAGTAACTAAGTTTAGCTGCAGCAAGTCAGGGAGAGTTTAAATACCTGAGAATTGAGCATGTGCAGTCTTTCAGCTTCTCTGACAAACAGTAGGTTGATGTACCGAAGAGGCTAAGGCACATAGGCATAAAGAACCATCTCATCGCTCCTAATTAGGCGGACAATTATACATATTCCATAGCTTATACACTGTTCCTTCTTTTGGTTTCTGGCCTGTCAACTTTCCTTCCTGCACCACCACTCATCTCCAGCTCTCTTTGCAGGTCTCTGAGTCCGCACATCCCCCTGTCCCTGCAGCACGCACTTTCCACACCTGAAGCACATCAACAGTGACCTACCCCGCCACAACTGCTCCTGCTTTACCTTACTCCCTTGCCATCCAGCAAGGCAGAAAAGAGGTGGACAAACAGGGCAGCCTAAGAGCTGCTTGTCGGTGCAAACCCACAACCAGGATCATTCCCAGAAGAAAAAAGTCAGCATTGCACAGACCCCAGAGATTCAGCCCCCTCAGGCTGTGTGCATATTTTTCAGGGCTTATGCAAACCCTGCACTTGAAGTAACTCTGAACCATGTGCAGTTACCCTGTAAAGTCTCCTTCCAAAGTGCTGCATTTATTGGTTCTCTTAATGACAGCTGCTTTTCCAGCTAATGTTTCATCTAAGCTCTCTGCAGAACACAGTCCTAGTTTAGGTTAACCACAGGTACCACCTAGAATTTATTCCTATGAATATCAAAGAGGATTTTATAGCTCTTGCCTTATTTCAAGGCAGAGAACCCAGCTCAATTGGGAATCAATTACCTGCCAATTTACAGAATTACCAACACACAAAAGACACAATATATTATTTGCCTAAAATACTATTTTACGTATCAGAAATCGTGCAGGGATGATCAGATAGTCAGATCGCAGGGCTGCCCGATAAGTAGCAGGTCTATAATTCTGCACCCCAAGAAACCTGCAGATGAGTCCTTAGGTACAGGTCTGGAATAAGCCTTCTGTATTGGTAAAGGATTATCAAATCCAGGTTCTGTAATACTGCTGCTGTTTCAGGTCATGAGATCTTTCACCGATTGTCGTCAGCTTCCATAGCAGAGTCAGTGCTACTGGATATACTTTCATTCTACTTGCAAGCTGCATAGAGCTACGTTTTAATTAAATTTTCTGGATAACGCAGTCACTCTCAACATTTATAATCAATTGTTCTTTACGATACGTTCTTCTGCCTTATTTTCACACTACAGGGTAGCTTATGCCTCACCATTCAGCCAAGGCTAAACTATATTCTGTAGTTTGAGCACCCAACACAGAATTCTTTCTGGGATATGTCTGGGTAAAAGCTAAGCAAACTTAGGACCAACCAGTCCTTTTTCTCCAGCCTGTCCCTCCATATGGCTGGGACAAACACTAATATACACAAACCAGCCAAACACCCAAGGCTTGCACTTACTGGGATATGACTCAAGACACACATGCAAATTTTTATCTATTTTAAGTTATTTGCCAGCATTGATCATCCTAAAGGTAAGGACTGCTTTCCAACTCAAAAACCACCCTCCTCATGAGTCACAGAACCAGACATCTTCCGAAATAAAAGAAAAGCAAAACAGAAAACGGAAAGCAAGAAAATCTGTTGAAAACCAGAACATTTTGAATTTTTTTTTGTCTCATTTTTTTTCTTAAGAGCATTGTGACAGGACTTTGAATCTCAGAGATTCGAGATCGACATGCCTAGGGTTTTTTCCTCACAATGAGCTACATCCTTGCAGGCAGATGCTTGTTTCCAAGCTTGATATAATGCCTTTGAATGGCAGTAAACTCTGTTCAGTGCCTCCCGGTCCCTAGGAAGTTCTTTGCCCTTCAAAGGCATCCTGCTCTTCACTGAAGCTCATACTCTCTGTTCAAGCTGCAGGTTCACCATTGCATGCTGCAACTGTATCGTCAACTATAACTTCTAAACCATAGCAGTTTCTCACAACAAACATTCAAGGGGAGAGAAGCTTCCCTCTCACCGTCAGACCTGGCTGCTCCCAGACTGATCCTACATTGCTCTGAACCAAAGGAAAAGGTTGGTAAGCAAATTCGCAACTGTGAATTGAGTTTCCATAATCCTCAGGCTGCAGAGTTGAACTTCAGGGCCGCTGCCTTAGCCAAAAACCACATTCCCATAAGAGTTCACCTGGTCTCCAACACTCCCACTTTGCTGCACTCCGTCAAAGGAGATCTCATGTTGCCGAGGGCTGTAATGCCACAGTGCATCCAGTCCTTTGTCTTACTAGGGTTCCCAGAGCCAACAAGAGAAGCAAGAACAACAAAAAAGCACTTAGCAGGCTGTTGTCTATAAAACTTATCAATTAAAATGGCTTTGGTTTGAAAGGCTGTTAACGTTAAAGTTCTTTCCTTTTCTCCTTCAAGTAGCTTTTCTTTTCTTTGCTTTGAAGAAACTCTTTGGAAATCCTCGGGATAAATAAAATTAAATCACTTCAAAGAAATCATGTGGCTATCAGTGAACTTGGCTCCATGGGATCTTGGAGGTAAAAAAAAGGGGAAAAAAAAAAAGAAAGAAGAAACAGCTCTCTTCTGGAGGAGGGAAAAAGCATTTTTGAGCATGCATAAACTAAAATCAATGTACTCTTCAAAGGCAATGAAAAATCAGTTTACTAAGTCTGACATGCAGCCTGTGAGTGAGGGAGATGATAGGATCAATAATCGCCCTTCACTCAGCAACGATGAAAACTTGCACCGAGTGCGTGTTCAACTTTATGCACCTTGATATGACAGGGATGGTTCTGTACTAAAACAGGCCAGACAGCAAATAGCAAGGGTAAACTGAGACTGATCCTACACTGCTCTGAACCAAAGGAAAAGGTTGGTGAGCAAATTCACAACTGTGAATTGAGTTTCCATAATCCTCAGGCTGCGGAGTTGAACTTCAGGGCCGCTGCCTTAGCCAAAAACCACATGCCCACAAGAGTTCACTTTAAAGAAGCTCACAGAAACTTTCACATTGTCTGGGGCTTTTATGATCAAACCCAGAGAGAATTTTGTGTATTTGGACATTTCCTGTCTGACTGTGGCTATCAGCAGCCAACCTGCCAGTCTGTGCATCCGCATCTGTTCGTTAACATTTGAACCTCCCTGTGGTTTTTCTCCTGAGATCTCAGAACTCTTTTTTCATTCTGCTGGGCAACAACATTGAGCAGATGGGATGGATGCCAGCCCTATCCCAGTTGTAGCTTTGAGAGGAGACCCGTCTCTCATGGTACCCTCCAAAATCAGCTGTTTTCTTCCCATCATCAAAGCAGCATGGAAGTTCCGACATTTTGAACGCTGCTTCCTGTGTTTTTGTAATTGCACAGGTTTTCCCGACATAGGCTTTTGCACAGTCCACTCAGACCAAATCTTTGTGGAATTTCTATCATTACCATGAAGACAGCAATAACCTACTCATAATATTTGGATTAGTTTGAGTATTTTGAGGCTATTAAAGTGCTTTAAGGAATTCATTTTCCCATTTATACTCCAGCTGTACAGAGATTCTGAAATTTGGAGTCGTTGGCTATAAGATTCAGTAAGCCATAAACATCCAAGACTTTTAAACCACTTGTGCACAATGAAAGTGTAACAGTACATGATGCTTTCCAAATCTCTCTAGCTCTAAAACAAGAGATATACAACAATCCATATACAGTAACTCATAAAAGGTCCTGGAAGAGACTCACCAGAGGAGCCCGGCCAATGCTGCGCAGGTAATAGAGAAGACCTTTGGCGTGGTAAATAGTCGGATGGAGCTGGGAACTGGGTGTCAACCACTGCCTGTTCAGATCATCCCCACTCAATGAACAACGGTGGCTGAAATCAGAAGTAAAATGTCACAAACCAGCAAAACAAGAGCTGATTCCAGAAAGTTTCCAATTCTGGCAAGCCCTGGCACAAGGACAGAGAGTATCAGTTAGAACACAGATATAAAGGTTCTGAATGTTAGACTGGAATGAACCAACAGTCTGTGTTATATTTCAAAAGTGCTTATAGTATATGAACTTTATTATTTCCTTTCCTTCCAAGGTTCACATAGTTGCAGTCATGAAAATAAATGCAGTTTTTCTTTACCTAAGTATGTACAAATCAAAAGACTACTTACAAACAAAAAGTCTTCTGAAATGTTCTAAATTCTGTTCTATCTATGAAATTCACCCAGCTTACATAGAGCACAGGGTTCTCAAAACCTCCACAGCAAACAAGTACATCCAACTCCTACTCATTCTAATTGAAGACAGGCACTTGAATCTCCTCGACCACTCTGAAATATGAATGTACTTAAATGAGATGAGCTGGATATCTCATTTAAGCTTCTCCACTCACAAGAAATGCAGCTATCTAAAGCACATCAAGAAGATCTTGATGCATGCTACATCATTATGTAGAACAATTACCTAGCTTCACTGCAGAGGCTGAATAAAAAGCTAAATAAGGATCCCAGATTTCCACTGAGAAAATGTTTCCCTCAGTTGGCTTGAACATATTCTGTTACTGACTCAGTGAAAGATTGTGCAGGATACTTGACCGTATGGAGCTGTACATCACTATACAATTTTGCAAAATCCAACTAATCTCCTTTGTTAGTGACCGTGTGTACATCAAAACCTTCTCACGCTCTCCTCAAAGGATTTGCTATAATTTGATTCACAATTTTCACATCGTGGTGTGCTGATAAAATTCAAGAATCAACCCTTGAGCAGAAGAGTGTGTGTGACAGGTCCTCATCATCTCCATACTATCTAGTTCAGCACTAGAATGCTTCAGGCAGTATTGTAAACTTGGGCTGCCTTGTGCTTAAATTTATTTTTTTTTAAAGAATAAATCTCAAGTGTTGGGTGAATTTATAGCCATGAAGCCGCATCCAGCTTTGCTGTTCCAGCCTCCTAGAACAAAATAAAGTACAAATGTATTCCTGAGGATGTGATCTGTTGTTGTATTGGCAGAGCCTTGCACTGCAGCTAGTGTGTCGCATGTAGCATCTTTGACATTACCAATGCCTTGCAAATGATGCTTGAAGAAAAAGGATCATAAAGTATATTAGGAAAAAAAGTATAAACAATGGAGAATCAGTTAAGAATAGAAGACAAAGAAATAATAAGAGCCACTAAGAATATTTCATACATTTTTAATGTAGAAAAATGAGGTCTCTGATGCCATCTTGGGGTTTCTGGCAACATCACAAGATTCGTTCCCAAGTTTACTCTAGTTTCACTTTTATTTGAATTCCCTTCTTTCTTCATAATCCATAGTTCCCATGTTACCCATTCGGCAAATCAGAAAATATTAGCAATAGCTAACTCATGGGAAGTCAGCAAATGCTGCTGTGGTGCTTCTGCCAAAAAAATATACTTGAAAATACGACAACTTCTGTTAAGCTTGTTGAAGGCTCTTCAGATAAAGTTACCTTTAGGCTCACCTCTCCTGATCTTCAAGACAACAGCTGCTCAACTGAGATTAGCAGCTGTATTTCCGCCAAGAACTTGTGTGCTTGCATGGTTTCCTTTCAATAGATACCCCTCCACATAAAGAATCATTAGGTTGCATTCAGAAACTCATCTTTCCCAAATAAGACTAGTAAAAATCTAAGACCCAAACACTTCCTTGACATAAGAGTGTGATTGTCTTCCTGCATCACAGTTATATGAGGAAGCACAACTAATTGAAAATAATAACAGAATTTCCATTCTGAGAGAAAGAATGATAGCTGGACTTTTATTCTCTTACTTCAATGTAACATCAAGAAGAAATACAAAAAGTCTTCTTATTTCAGATCTACAGAAATGCTTTTCTCAGACATTGTCACTGCTCACAAAAAACAACCACCCTACTTCCTCCACCTTTCCTGTTGGGATTGACACTAGTTTATGCCTACTCCAACCATCTGCACACATCCCTCTGCTAAAATGCCTTGTACACACTAGAAGAGTCCAACATACAAAGCCAAACATGCAGGGGAGTAGAAACATGACAACTGAAAGCTACTCCTAAAAAGGATTCAGTAAACAAAGATTAATGTCAAACAAGCCCCACGCTCAATGTTTATTTCACTATTTCTTAGACTAAACTAAAAGCCGTTGTAAAACAACTCCTCATTCTTTCAGAACATACAAAAAAAACCCCAAAGATCTGTTAGAAAAGCATGTAAGAAAACTCCTAATCAACTTTATTAACACACGTTAAAGCCCAGTAGATGGTGTGACAAGGCACCAGTGTTTCCTACTGCAGAATCTGGTTCTGCTGTGGCCCATGGACTGTAATACATTACTCATACATGAGCACAGTTTCCACAAGCAAGCTGCCATCTCTGCCATTCATGACACCCTCACTCTTTCGACATGTTTCACTCTATTCATAATACAACGTACCATCTCTGTTGCTCTGACACAAATTGTGACTTTTCTTAGAGGTGACCCTATGACAAGCTAATCTTCCCCTCCTGCAGTTCACAGATGTTACCAATTGCTTAGTAATAGTTTAGTAAGTGTAATCCAACTCCAAAACAATAATTTGAAAGCTTTTATTTACTGCAGGGAAGGAAGGCAACATCTCTGCATGTAGGCAAGAGTTGGGAGACAAAGTTCAGCTTTGTCCCTTCAATGCTTAACATCTATCTCTGTTCATTTAAATGACCTTTAAATATTAGCCCTCAGCCTGGTGGCTTGTATCCACAGCTCTTAAGGAGATGCAGAACTTTTAATTAAATTATGAGAGGCTGATTTTTCCCATCCTGCTCCCCCCTCCCATCATACTGTTAAAGCCTGTTTACTTTTGTAGATACCAGCTCCCTGCCAGCCCTGTTCCCCCTTGTTCCTTCCTTTCTTGTCTCTCTCCTAATAGTGATGACATTCGCAGATAATGGTTTTGTCCGTTATGCTCTGCAACCAAGGGTGAAGGTAAAATATTAAGCTGATTTCAAGTCCTCATAGCAAATAAAGGGACTGGGAAGCTGAGACCGGCTTTGAATGTTTGGCAGGATTTAATGAAATTCACTGCTCAAACCAAAGGCATTTCTTACAACACAGTTCCAAGCTATTATATTTGCTTTAAATGTTTTATCTGTCTTTTCTCCTCTGCAGCATTAGCAAGACTACCTGTCACCTTAGATGAGACTAGTAGCAGCTCAAAGGAAATTATGAAAATATTTGCCAAAAATAATTCCAATAAGTAAAGAAAATCCCATCTCTGTGTCTCTATAGAGATTACCTGTAATTCTGCTATTTGTTATATATCCTCAACACAGATGCATTATCCAGCTATATGCAAAACAATTAAACTTCCTCTTGTTCACAAGCCTGATGTTTTTGTTATAACCCTGCCTTCTCTTCTACCTTTATACAGCCAGGACATTCTATGATGTGCATCAGCCTATGGGATAACTATTAGCAGTGTCTGGGGCAGTGCATGGCTACCAGGTGGAGCACAGCAAAAGGAGATGAAACACACACACATTTGACCTTCTCCAAGCAGACGCTAGTAGTATTTCTGTAGGTATCTGTAGAACAACTCAAGAGAAGCTATGGAGCTGGTGGAAGAAGAGATCCTCTGATCCTTATTAACTAAACTTTTCTTAATTGACAGAAACATTGTCACATTGATACAGAGCAAGGTGTTCAGCACTCACTATTGCCCAAGGAAAAAACCACTTGAGCAGTCTGTTCTTCAGATGTACTTCAGTAGTGCCACTAAATCCAGTAAGATGAATAAAACCAAAGCATTCAAGTCATCCAGTCCTTGGAGAAAAGATAAAACACGTGACTGGTTGCAAGCAGAGTAAATTCATCCTTACGTGAATTTGTTGGCAAGTGCTGGCTTCAAATACCATCATTATATGCCACTAAGGATATTCCTATTTCATGCAATCCTTAGCTCTAAAGATGGCTAAACGCAGGTAGTCATGTAGGAGAACTGCTCTTTAAAAACTGGATCCCTGGCATGTGAAATTGATACACCACAGATGGAAAGATCAGGTTGAGATTCCCCTTCTGAAGCTGTCAGAGGTAACTGCACTTCTAAGGGAAGCATTAAACCCTTGCTCTGAAGTCAGGGACACCTCACAGGGAGCTAATGAGAAAGAGGTTAAGTAGCTAAAGAGGAGACTTGTTTGGTTTAAGATAGAATCGTATTTTAAATCTGTTTGCACTTGTAAGATCTTGCTTTTAATCTTGTACCTCAAAGCCTGACATTAAGTTTTACTAAAGACGTGTTTTCTTTGTTGTCTTACTCTTAAGCCTGCTTGGCATGAGGACAAGGTAACCTCAGATATGGCACTAAATTCTGCACGAGCCATGGGTATGGATGGAGAGATGCTACCTGGTCCTAACCTAAGGCTTGGTAAGGTCAATGGAACCTTTTAGTTGATTGCAATAAGCCTGGATCAGTGTCCTGCACAGGAACAAAAATAGGAGGGGTGGAGGAAGAGAGAGAGAAAAAGGTAGATACACAGGAAGAACAAAACAAACGGGAACAGGAGTTGCAGAGTAAAGAGACTGGGGGATAAATATAATGCACAAGATATTAGACAAGGAAGAAAACAAGAAATGGAGAAAGAGAAAAGTCACTTTTTAAAGAAACGGTGTTGCTGTGCTTGGAAGATAAAATGATTCAAAGTCTCCTGTCCATTACAGATAAACGGAAAGACGAGGCCCATCATATTGAATGAACGATGTCAGGACTGATAATAACAGCACCTGGGGCACAGGGAACTGAAAAATCTAAGGGGATGCGTTGTGTTTGATATGTAGAGAGCATCATCACCATTCACTCTGCATCTTAAAAACAGAAAGCAGTACTGGCATAGGATAAGAGTATCTATA